AAGCGGGACGGAATGAGTGATAAAAAAAAAAAAAGAGAGAGAGAGAGAGAGAGAGAGAGAGAGAGTGAGGGGAACAATGAACGAAGGAAGGGGACTGGGGGACTGGAGGTTGAGGCTACATGGAATGTAGTGGAAGTAGAAGTTCTGCTTTTAGGTTTCATTTCTACTTTTTTTGTCGAATGCTTTTTTTTTCTTTTCTGTGTGTGTGTGTGTGTGTGTCTTTCTGGGATTTATAAATAATAATAATAATAATTGCAGCTTATCGTTATTGCAAGCTCAAAAGAAGAAGAAAACAAACAAACAAACAACAAAAGTTGTCCGTCAGTGAAATAGATGTTGCGTTTTAGTCGGTGTTTAGGGGCTCCTGTCTTTTGCCGTATTATTGATGTTATGCGGCAAAACGAGCCGTATGCCCGACCAGGGATTTTGTACCCCATTCGTGTGGAACTGGGAGATAAGGTGGAGAAATGCACATCTCGTGAGCTGCAGGAAATAATTGACAATATGCTTTCTCGTTCCCAACGCTTTGCAACTGTGAAGACGGGAATGGTTTACAACTCAGATCAATCCGTGGCGACAGAAATTAAAGCATATGGGCGCTATGTAGTCACGGGCAACATGCGTGGTGGATATATTAAAGGCGATCACCGTTTTGGGCCGCGTTTGACTGGTTATGGGGGCGCCACGACGAAGCCGGGACTGCGATGGAATGGAGATGACCTATGAATAGCTGTCAGGAGACCGTTTTGTTTTCTGCAGGCATTTTATATTGTACTTTGCCACATTGATGGTGTTTTTCCCACAGGGATGGGGACAAAAGTTAGTTGAAATCCAGTTGTCTTTTTTTTTGTTGTTCTTTTTTTCTTTTTTTTTTTTTTTTTTCTCTTTGGGATGACGCCGACGGACGAATGCACTCGTCTCTGTGTCTTTCTGTCTGCACGGCTGTATTGCGATGCCATGTTTTTTTTTTTTTTTTTTTTTTTCATACCTCTAAAAAGGAATTTCTCTTGTAGGGGAAATAAAAGGAGGCGTGGAAGGCGAAAAAAAAAAACAACAACAACAACAACAGAAAAGGCGCTAATAGAGGGGGAGAGAGGGAGACGAAAAAATAACGAAAAAGAGGGATTGGAAGCTTCAATGATTATTGAAGACGCCATTGTGGACGAGGTGCCGACTGTTCGGCGAGTTCGTCGGTTGCGCTCGCAGTTTGAGCGACTTGTTCGCCCAGCCGATGTGCGGCCCGGCGAGCCGATGCCTAGCATTGAGGGGTGGGTGCTGTTCCTCACAAACCTGCCGGCGAACACAACGACGGACCACATCCTCGACCTCTTTCTCACTTACAAGAAGGAAGAGAGCGAGGGGTACGCCCCTGTACGCGAGGTACGGATGCCGTTGGACAAAAACTGCGAGTGCTGCGGCTACGCACTGGTGGAACTGCAGCGAAAGGATGCGTTTGAGCGGGCATTAAAGGAGTTGCAGGGCGTCGTGCTCCCATTTGCGGAGGGGGAGCCGCCAAATGGCGAAGAGGTCTGGCGATTACAAATTGCGCCAACATTTTTGGGCGAGACAGATGATGACGAAGCATTGGCGGGCGAGAAGCGGGTCCGTGAATGATGCCTTTTTTTTCTTTTTTTTTTCTATTTGTGTTTGTGGTTGCGTTTGGATCCGTATGCGTTGCGGCATGTTGCTGCTTCTCCCTTTTCCTTCTTTCTGTCCCAACCATTGCACACGTACACACAGACAAACAAACAGATGCACATTACGTGCAAGTTTGGGCTATTGTTGCATTTATTGGTTTGCAAAATTGGTGGATTATTTGGTGTTTTTTTTTTTTCCCCTTTTTGTTTTTTTGTTTTTTTTGTTTGTTTCCACTCCGTATTGGGGCATTCTTCTCGGATGAAATGTACGTTTAGGGTGGGGCAGGAAAGAAGTACCTGTTGTCGTGACATTCTTTGTGGTTGGAAAGGCACTCCTGTCGGAGGACACACAACAGGAAAAGGAAAAGGAAACAAAAGTTCTTTTAGTCACACGTAGTGGATTTTCCTCCTTTTTTTTTTTAATGGCGGATTCAGGTGCTGGTGCTTCTGCCAAAATAGCGGCCAAAACATGTGTAGATCTTGCAGATCCACAGCGAACGAGCCTGCCGTTTGTGTTGTTTGAACTTTTTATGGTGTCTATATTTACTTTTACATACTTTTTGATTAGGCGTCAGCGACGGTTGTTTGAACTGCGTACGCAACAACGCTATGAGAGACTGTCTCGTGTCGAAATGGGGTTTGGCGTAACTGTGAATGGTCCTGATTAAAGCGGTGCAATGAAAGGGGGAAAATACGATGGGCAGTTTGCTCAGTGTACAGAGCAGGAACGAAATTTTATTTTATTTTATTTTATTTTATGCTCCCTCTCTCATGGATGTTGCTCACAAAATGACGCGCAGGAAGGGAGGGTTATTTGGCCTTTGCGTCTCTTTTTATTTTTATTTTTATGTTGTTGATGGCGGCGAGTGGACACTCATGTTGTGTCTCTTCATTGCACTTCTCTTTTGTTACTGCCTCGGGTTTGAACGTTTCTGATGATGATGATGATGAGGAGGAGGAGGAGGGCTCTTGGTTGATTCTCTGCGTGTGAGTGTTATTCCTGCCAGTTTGTTGGGATGCAGAGTTTTGCGCGGCTTCGGAGTGACGGGGCACTCTCCATCGACCTTGAGAAAATGGCGGACGCTTCCCCAATCTCTGAAACCACAGAACGTGAGCAGCAGCGGCAGCTGCAGCAATACGGCAAAATTGCTACTGCCCCAGCTGCTGCCGCCGCCGCTGCTGCTACTGCTGATTGCGACTTTTCCTCGGAGCTGCGTGGCATTTGTAGGCGGCAGGGGGATTTTCCGTTCTTTGGCGCCGCCGACTCCGTCTCGCCGTACCCACGTCGTCCATCCTCAGTTGTGACAGCGGAGGATTTTGACGCACAGGAGCACGTGACGCAGGAGGAGGGAAGGCGCCTACCGCAGGAGTCCACAAGTCAGGAGGTGGTTGATGCAAGCCCGCGGCACGTGACGTTCGTATCATCGGCCGGGAACTTGAAGGAGGGAAGTCCACAGCCGCAACGCAGCAACGACGACGACGACGGCGATCACCAACGGGTGCAGCATGACACACTGGACCGACCATGCAGGGCCAATGGGGGGGAAAACCGAATGCAGGAGGAACAAGAGATGATGATATCACCGAGGGGGCGGCGAAATGCGGGTAAACCCACCCGACTTTCACAGGATGAGAGGAAAGAGTTGTTTGAACGACTTGCCATGCCCGTACGAAAAAGTGAGGAGAAAAAAGGTGAGACCTATCTCGCCCGTGATGAAATGAAAAAAAGGGAAAAAGATAAAGAAGGAGAAGGACTGCAGCGATGTGTCTTTCAGTGGCCTGTACCATCTATACCTACTCTGACGCTGGTAGACTTGGAGCGCCACAACAAACTGGCGAATTATATGCGCTCATAAATATCCTCATTATTACTGGTGTGAAAATTACGTTTTACTGTATTGTGAAGAAAAGCGAGATGGGATGCAACTGGGTCTGTAATGACTTCTCTTCACTTTTACTTTCCCGTGAATTGAATAGGGATATTTTTATTCTGGGACCTTGCGTCTGTCCCGTGGAGCCGGTGACGGTTGGTGTTTCTGGCGACTACGTGGGTGATGCATCAGCGAGGTATTCAGCGTTACAAGAACGGCAAATCGGGTGCCTACACCGAGGAGTATCACAAACTTCTTGGCAAATCGGCGTGGATTGTCGTGCGACGCCTTGAACACGCAGACGCGAAGAGCGCCGTCAGTCTCTCTGAGGGAGATGTTGCAACCGTCTTCTCTCAGTTCGGTAACGTGGTGGATGTGCGGTTCCTGCGACATCGACGCACGGGGCGTTTCTTGGGTACGGCCTTCGTGAAGTTTGAGGATTATCGCAGCGCCATACTCGCCGCGGACGAGATGAATTCCAATCACGAGAGCGGAAAAGAGGTGCGGTTAACGGCAGCAGGCGGGGCAGATGTACGCGGGATTGAGGTAGAACGATGTGACGAGGCTGAAGTTGTTGCAGCACCCGATGACGGAGAGTCATACATGGCGTGGATCGCAAGTCTGGGGATTGGAGAAAAGACATTGACACACTGACGAGGAAATGCGTTGCCTGCTGCTTTTGTATTTATTTTTGTCATTCAGCATGCGTGTTGTTCCCTTCACATGGCGGGGTGGGGTGGGATTGCCAAGCCAATGAATGACGGAATGAGAAGGACGGTGAAGTGTTGGGTGCGGCAGAGGTGCACAGAGATCCGCCTGAGTGATGGGAGGAAAGCAAATTGAGGGATACATTCTTTATTTTCTTTTCTCTTTTTCCAAGATTGTACATTCCCCCTTTTCTTGTTTTTTTTTTTTTTTTTGTTGTTGTGTGTTTTATTATTCCCTTTTTTTTTTCTCTCTCTCTTTCTCTTTCTCTTTCTTTGTTGGTGGGTTTTATTATTGCAGTAGAACGGGGCGTAGTTAGGCACGACGCCATCTACTTACAAAATATATACCAAGAAAAGGTAACGTTACTTAATTTTCACTCAGGTAGGGAAACAAGTAAATAGACAAGGAATTAATATATAAATACTTACTCGGTTATAAAGCAAACAGACAGACAGACAGACAGAGAGAGAGAGAGAGGGGTAGATTATTATTATTATTATTATTATTTTTCTTTTTTAGGCCGTTTTTGCGTTTTTCTGAATGCAGTTATATGTACAGCGACTTCTGGGCGGAGACGCTACTGTTTTGCCGCTAATATTGTACACTATTGGAGAGTATTCCTCCTCCTTTTCCGCCTTGGCCCCATGGGAGAAGAGCCTCTACCAGCACCTCGTCAAACTGCTTCTTGTTGCAGGCAAGCACTTGAAAAATGACACACACAATATCACGCAATCCGTGGCAATTGAGCACGGTGCGTTAGCTCAACGTATCTTATGTACTGCCTTTTTACGAGGTGGGGATACTGCCGCTGAAGTTTGTCGCTCTTTGCTGCAAGTGGGTATCAAGGGATGCCGCGAAATGTGTCTTGATCGTTACATTGATGTCTCACCGGGGATTTTGGAACATGTATTGCAGTTTGTTTTGTTTTTGACAAAACTTTTTCATGTTCGTCCGTCAGATATTTTGACGGGACGCGAGAGCAACCAACGTGCTGAACACGCAGGCCGTGCCCACACGTTGTCTCCGTCAGTGCCTGCACAATGGGGATTTTCGGAGAACAGCCGCTTAGAATCATCAGGGAACGGGATCGTGCCAAGAAGAAGCAACCATCGTCGTTGGCGAGATTTACCAGGGAAGCCCTCCTATGTGCCATCTAGACAGAATCCAATGTATAGTGATCGTGAAGGGGAGGGCTACTGGATACCACCGCAGTTTCCTACGCCCGTTCTGGCCTTTGCACGGAAATTTGGTATTGGCTGTGAGCCGCATTTACCCAATTTGAGCGTTTCTTTCTTGCCTACGACTTTGCTGGGCTCAGGGGCTTCTGAGGATCCTCATTTTACTGTTCGTTCCCCTTCTATTGTTGCATCCCGTCGTTTGATGGAGGCTCGAAATTTTGAGCAACAGGGAGATTCTTTGTTCTCACGTTATCTTTCCAACGGATTGTTGCTAATTTGGGGCAGCGTTGTTGCGTTTAATGGTTTAGAAAATTTTACAACAAACTTTGAGTCGGAATCTGGGTCAACGTTTTCTGATGCATTCTTTTTTTCACCAATCGTATTAACACCACCCATCCCTGTCGTCTCCATGACCTGCGGGGCAAAATCATGCCATGTGGTGACAGTTGAGAATAAGGTGTACAGCTGTGGAAGTAATGAGCACGGGCAATTGGGATGCGGTCAATCCAAAGAAATACCTCTTTTTTTCCCCAGGATTTACGGTGATGGCCACCAGTGTTTCTATCATGTGCCACTTTGTTCAGAAGATAGAATTGTAAAAGTTGAGGCTGGATCGGAGTTTGTTGTGGCGGTCATTCGTGAACGCAACCAAATGTACTTTTGGGGAGGAAATGGCTGCGGCCAGTGTTTATTACCAAAATCAAAGACTGTTTCTAGACCAGTTATGGTGGATGTTCCCAATGAATATGGTCAAATTAAAGAGGTGGCATGTGGAAGTGTTTTTGCCGCGGTTTTATTTTCCGATGGTAAGATAGGGATGTGGGGGAAAGACTCTATGCTTGGGGAGACCTTCTCTTCGGAAAAACTTTGTGATACAGAGACAGGAACGGGAACAAAGTGCGCAAAGCTTACTATAGTCTCCAAACCGATAGAAGGAGAAATTGTGGCATTAAGGGCTGGTCCTTTTCATTGTATTGCCATCACTTCTGCAGGACATGCTTATTCTTGGGGTGTGGATCGCAGTGGAAGTCTGGGGCATGGTACTGGACACAGTGGGAACAAGATACAACGGATTGAATCATTGGCAAATCATGTGGTTATTGATGCTAGTTGTGGATCATTTCATTCTGCTGTGCTTACAAGAGATGGGATTGTGCTTGTTTTTGGAGAAAACACATGTGGTCAACTCGGGCTTCGTGGTGAGGCACCCCGTACAACCCCGGAGCCTCTTCCTTTACCAAAGCCTGCCATTGCTGTTTCTTGTGGACGGGAACATACATGTGTGCTGTTGGAAGATGGCGATATAATGTCATGTGGGACAGTTCGCTCGTGCGGTATGGGTTTGGGTTACGGAGCTCGATTCAATATTCCCCAGCGAAATTTTTGGAGCTATCTTCTTTTATCGATGGCAAGTAAATCCATACATGGTATGGCGGTAGGTCTTCCTCGATCTCTTTCTCTACACCCTGTGGGAGCATCGAATGGAATTGTCTCAACGGATGAATTGAGGCGGTTAAAGCAGACTATTCTGCGGCAAGGAGTGCGTACTGTGGCAGCAGGAAATGGTTTTTTATTTGTCGTTACAGTAGCGGGAGAGGTGCAGGCAATTGGCCAGTCACAGAGGGGTCAATTGGGTATAGGAGACACCACTATACCCTGCACCGATACATTTAAAAAGGTCGCGTTCCCCGAGCGGGTGGTGCTGTGTGCAGTCGATTGTGGTGCTGATTACGCCATTGGCCTGAGTAGTCACTGTGGTGTTTATAGTTGGGGATGGAACTCACATGGACAACTTGGACACGGTGATTCTGTCCCGCTCCATGAATCCCTTTTTACTCCAAGGGAGATAAAGGCGTTGCGTTGGAGGGAGGTTACTCAAGTTGCATGCGGTGGTACTTTTGCCGTTGCCCTCACTCAGGACGGCGAGGTATACACGTGGGGAGAATCTCTTTACTGTGGTCATCCTCGTGTCGTTGCACCGTGCTTGACGACTCCTATGCTTCTCGAGGGGCTTAAAGATGTCGTCGCTGTCGCAGCAGGCGTTTCACATGCCGTTGCACTTTCATATGACCATAGGATTTATGCCTGGGGGAGAGGGCCGTTAGGGAATGGGGGTTCATGTAATACAATAGAATGTACCCCAGTGGCGTTGAAGTTTGCTCATTGTGTGCGGCAGCTTGGATGTGGACCGTTCAACACTTTTGCAATCACCGATCTTGGAGAACTGTTTGTTTGGGGCTTGAATGATCATGGACAGTGCGGTGTGCATCACTGCGAGGGTCCACCTCCGTCTTGGGATGAAAAGTTGAACTCTCACACAGACCGGAAACAGGAGCGGCGGCAGCGACATGCGACGTCGTCCTCGGAGGTGTTGTTCCCGACGCATGTTGCTCATGGTGTGCGTGATGCAGCATTTGGTGCTTCATGTGGCATCTTGATTTGGGAAGATGGCAGCAGTGCGGTCTCTGGGGAGATCCACCAAGATGGCAAGAAGGTCCTCTTTCATAGATTCACACCACAACGATTAGCGATGACTTCTCGACATCAGAATAAGGAGGGCAATTCATCTCATGTTTTGGGAAAGGAATCTTCACCTGTATTTTTTTCACGTTGTTTTGGCGGGTTTGACATGTTGTTTGTTCTGTTGGAATGGGAACG